CTGTTCTTTTTTTATTTTATACTTTTTGTTATTTTTTTGGCAGAGGATCAAAATTTTTGGCTAGAGAGAGGCCCAGAAACTGCAGTTAAATTCAATTTGTGCCGCGCTGCCTGCGAATGACAGGCAGCCAAAGTGCCATTTTAAGCGGCAGCCAAAAATTGTCGCCCCTCGTCCAAGGACTCAAAAGCCAACCAAGAGCAGGACTCGTTGTCGTCTTCATTGCAGCAGGATAATTTCTGGCGCGGCTTTGTTGGCGCGATAAAAAAGTTTTGGTGGGGTCCTGCCGCCGCAGCAGCAGCAGGGTCAGGAGAAGCATCAGGCCGGCTATGTATATATCCCTTATCCCTTGTTGTCCCTTTTATTTCCGTTGATTTAATTTTAAAAGGCGCCGCTCTTTCTGCTCTTCATTTCGCCCGGCTGAAGCACTTTTATTTATATACATTTAGCCACTGCGGGGCGCCGTTTTGCAAACTGTTTTGGCTCCGTTTAGTTGGCCCCAAAACGCAGGACATTGTCAGCCAGTCAGTAGGGTACTCAGTTAGTCACTCCGTCAGTCATTCAGTCATTCATTCATTCAGTCAGTCTGCCAGAGGAGAGTCATTCCATTCAGTCACTCATTGAGCTCACTCAGTTGAGCATTTGGCACTGACACTGTCCAAGAGGCAGCCAACCGTGCCTGGCACTCGTGTTTCGCCTTTGTCAATTTTAATGAATTAATGCGTATTTTATGTGAAAAGTTGCCACAGCAGTGGCTGGAAAGTTGCCGTGGCATAAAAGTAAATTAAATAAATTTATGTCCAAGAGCTGCCCGCCTCTGGCTTCTGGCTTGTGGCCCACTTCCGCTCCACTCCGATCTGCTCTGTCTATTATCTAAACATTAAACCTGGCTATTGATACAAAATCTGTACAAATTGAAAACGAAATTGTTTTGCCATTTAATGATTGTGCAAACTTTGGCATCCATTAAAATTATATTAAAAAGTTTACGCAGCTTTGCTGAATGTATTTGACCCGATTTTGTGGAGATTTCAATTTGCTTTAATTTGCATTGAGTGGAGGCGCTTTAAGGCCGAAACTTCTACCGATTTCGATGGGCAACTTTGGGTGGGACAACTTTTGACACTTGCCACAAATATAAATCGTAGCAGGCGGCATGAAAAAGTGTCAGGCTTTTGCGGTTGCAACACAAACTGCCAAGACTCATTTTTCACACTACGCACAAACAGTGGAAAGGATTGGGAAAATGGAAAACGCGCCAGAGTGATGGAGGAGTGGAGGAAGAACCAAGGAGATGCTTGACTGATTGTGCGCGTTTTGGGGCAAAAGTTTTTCGCATTAACTTCCGCTGCACGCCGCGTCGCATTTGAATGCGATTTTGATTTGTCACTCGCCGCCTCGCAACAAAAGCCGCCGCCTACTTAAACTTAGAGTTTAGAGCGGCGAAAGCGCTCGGCCCTTTCAACTTTTTCCGCCATTTCCGCTGCCGATCATTGGTTTCCGTTTCTTCACTTGCCGCTGCAAGTCGCAAGTCGAACTGCCAAGCCAGGAGAAAGGAGTGAAAGCGGAGAAAGCAACTCGACGACGTGCACAAGCGCATTTTGAAGTTTATGAAAAGGGCTGAGGCTGAGGCTGAGGCTGAGACTGAGGCTGAATGCTGAATCCGAAGCCGAGGCAACTTTTCTGAATAGATTAAGTTGAAAGTTTTGCTCATTTTCAGCATCGTCCCAATCGAGGGCTGTCGCTAAGACCGGGCGACAAAATTATATCCCGACCTCCCCCAGAAACCTTATAAAAATGGGAAAAATCAACGTAATGATGTCGGCAGGGGGAAGTCGGAGGAAAACTCCGCAGTCTGAAGATGGTAGACAGCAAACCAAAATCAAAACTTTGCCAAGTGTCATTAAAAGTAACCGAAAAAAGTGAACGAGATAGCGAGCGAGTTTATTTCCACTGCCGTTCCCATTTCCATTCCCAGGCTCAACTATCAACTATTATCTTGTTGATTTGCTTTCCTTTTTTATATTCCACTACCTTTTCAGGACTTTTACACGTAAGTCCTTTGAAAGTTTTTGGTGAGTACACAATGGAAAATTACATTGTAATATTTTTAAAAGGAAAATACAATTTTTACTGGTTTTTAAAAATAATTTTTATTTGAAAAAAATGTTAGAATTATACCAGAAATAGTGCTATAAATTGCAAGTGCAAGGTCTCGTTTTTTTGCCTGTGTAATGATTCTCTTCCTTGGCTATTTGAAATTTGAACTGGTCAAGAACCTCTGGTACAAAGGCCAAGTTAAGCCTTTTGTGGCCAACAATGAAAGGCAACGGCTAAGGGCGAGCAAGGGCTGCCAATTACGGGCCAACTTCTCGTTAGCCATGCAGCACAAAAATGTAATTGAATTATGAGAGCCAGCAACAATATGGAGCAAACTAATCAGCCCGGCAATAGCCAGGACGTGTCCATGTCCTTCGCTAATCAATTTGCCCATTGTACTGGGCCCGGTTGCCTTTGTTTGTCTCTGGCCCCAGCCCCAGCCCCAGCCCCGGCCCTTTGCTCTGCTTTTATTTATGAATACCGATGCGAGAATGCGAGAATAGGAGGCTCACGAAACGAGTCGGAGAAGCGGGGCCAGAACATATTGCATGTAATTAATCAGGAGCATTGCTATCTGGTTATGGTTTGCGGCGACTGCATCGACAAGCACACGCAATTTGCGCCGCCCACCGCAGGCGGATAATTGAATTTCAGTTTTGTGTGGCCAGCGTCGAGTATTATACTATATATTCGACATACGAGAGCACATCCACTTGAACTGGCCACCAGCACAACCGGCCATCCGGCCATCGTCGTCTTAACACCATCGATACCGATTCCCGTTCCGATTCCGTTGCTGCAGTCGATTGCCTTTTGCGAATTTCACTAATTGGCCACCAAAGAAGAGGTCCTTCGGGTGTGGGTTTTATGTTGATCCTTTCGCCCAGCCGAATAATTAATTAGGCACATTAAAGCAAGCCCTCTCGCCACGAGGCATTGTGTTTTATGGCCATTCGTCTCGGAATATTGTCTAATAATCGGATTTTTTGCATGCCAGTCCATTAAATGGCTGCGATAAGAGAACTGTTCGATATAATAATGCTCCCGGGATCGGTTGGTCTGCTGGGAATGTGGACAAGTGTGCCATCGGGTGGTTTTGATTAAGCACAAGGTGTTGATTGATTTGGAAACTCAAAGAGACTTAATTATTTTGAAGGGATTATGAGTGCGATTATGGCGGCGATTGTGATGGCGAAACCGATTTTCATGGGCAGTGGAATGCCAAAGGCGAGCAATTAATTGAAGGATTAATTTTCTTTTGTTTCCCGCCGCCTTTTCAATAATTTCCCAACGACTTCTGCACTGAGTCCCCGCCTTGGTCTCGGAGTAAAACCGCAAAAACTTGATGTTATCCGGAATTTTCCAAACCGAGACAAACCCACACACATATTAAATTTCAAAGTTTTTATTTTTCGCCGCAGTCGGAAAGTTAAGTAAGTTAATTAAAAACGAGCGGGCAGAAGCTGGGGGGATTGTTGTATATATTTAGCTTCCTAAATGAAAAATCCACCCATGAGTGCTGTTAACCTGATGATGAAAAGTAGGTAAAGCCAGAGACGACAACATATTTGCGATTATTTCCCACGCGGGCACTCAAGGCATAAAGAGCAATAAATTAAGAGGCGAAGGATGTCCTGGAAGCCGGTAGCGAGGATGTCTTTGAAGCTGCCAGCTCTCGGTTTCTCGGCCCCCCAGGGCAAGGCGGAGAAAGAAGCAACTGAGCTACAAGCCAAGCCACTTCAGGTGTAGATGAAAAATGTAATTATTTCCTAGATTTGCGCTCGCCATAAAATAAACATGCGGAAGGGAGCGAAGCGTTACGTAACGAAGGATATTTGCTGGATGCCGCGGGACAAGTCGAGCCCAAAAATCCGTCGAGCACTTCAAAAGGGCAAGCTCTAAAAAAAGAGAGAAACGTTAAATGTACATTTGGTCCTGCACTCGAATAAATAGTTCCTGGCCAGGGAAGCCGGTCTCAAAAGAACTGGCAGGGCAAATAGACGCCGAAGACTGGAGGCTGATGCTCATTAATTAAGGAAGTGGCAAATGAAAAGCCTGCGAAATACGCTGCTTCCAGGTCGTCTTTTTTGGTTGCTGACCCGACGAGCGGGCGCCACATAAATATACATAGAGCTATGTTTCTATATACCATATACACATAGAAGAAACCAGCCTCACCTGCCTCACCAAGGGGTGTGTGTATATAAATCAGTTTTATTTGCTTTCACTTGTTCTGCTCTAATATTTTTTTGGGCCACTCGCCTGGCATTTGTTTGCCCCGGCGTCGACAGCTGCTTGTGGCTTTCAACTGGTCCCCAATGCAGTTTGTTGTTGCCACCGTCCACCCCCTCGATTTCCACCCCCTTCATCCTCTGCTGTTGCCGCTCTTCAAACAAAAAAGTCGAAAATTAAATTATTAATTTATTGCCCGTTGCTTGGGACTCCCCGGTAGACGTCTCCCCCATCTCCCGAGCCCCAGCAGCCACCGTTTCTATGGGCCATTCACTCGCGCTTTTCAAAAACCAGCAAAAACTGCTGGAAAAACAAAAGCAGAACTGGGAAAAACGAGAAAATTGCTGTTGCTGTGGCAGAACATTTCGCGGTTTCCTTCGACATGCACCCTCGGCTCGCTAATTATTCATAAATTAAGAGCAGATAGGCTGCTGGAAGGGGACTTAATTTGCCATTTGTTTGTTTATTTAACAATTTGTGTTTGCCTGGCACAAGTGCGGAAAAATGTTCTTTGATTGGAGTTAATGTGCTAGCCGAGGAAAAGATCGATGTTGCTGGAGGATGGGAATCTCTAAAAATAGTTAACCTAAGAAATAATTGGGTGGAAAGCTAGGGCAATAAATTACTTTCCTAATTAAAATTTAAAGGTAAATAATAGTTGAAGAACTTACGATATTTCTCCAAATGGTGTGAATGCATCTTTCAATTGTTGCGTCTCGATTTCGGCACTTAGATCGCCCACGAAAATGTGAAACTGTTCTGTAAAGATAAAAACAAAGAGACAAGTTTTAGCGACAATTAAAATAAGTGAAAAGTTAAATCTGATTTGCTCAGTTCTGCCATCAAACCGCACTCGACGATTGCCCAGACAGGGACACTTGAGCAGGTGGACGTGTGTGCTTGGCCAAGAGGCAACTGGCTGAAATAGCAACGTGCAATTGTGCAATCTCCCACTCCCACACCCTCAGTGCTTAGGTCCTTGAGTTGGTCGGTGTCTGTTGCTGATTTGGGGCTTGACATTATCAAATGCCGCCTGTCAACCCAGCTGCCTTGGATTCCCTACCCCGCCAGCTCTCCCACACTCTGATTCTAAGGCTGAGCCTGTCACTCTCGTTGCCACTTTGCTCGCCGGTTGTTGCCGGCTATTTTTGGCACTCCAGCTTCGGCTCCGGCTTTGGGTCCGGGTCCGGGTCCAGCTTGAAGGTCCTGGTTCCGCATCCGGTTGCAGTTGCAATCGCCGGGTGCCAGGTGGACACAAGTGTCATCACAAGTGCGCCGACGTGTCATGTTTGCATCCACGCGTTGCGGCCACCAACAGTAGAGCTTCTGTTACTCGAAAGCAAGAGTTTTGTATAGAATATAAAGATGGCTTTAAGTCACTTTTTCACCTTTTCTTATTTTTTTTCTATTCCTTTAATTATTTATTTCAATTTGATGAGCTTTTTAAGCTTATCAAGGCCTGACTGTATCAATGAAACAACCTTTAGATCCTGGTAGCTTGGGGCCAGCCCTCGCATCCGTAACAAAATGACGTAGTTTCGCATTACAAGGAAATTGCACTTGAATGTGCCAGTCAGTGGTGTATGACTGGTGGGCGTGGCCGGCCCTAAATTCCCACTGCTATGCCCCTTGGCCACCTCATCATGTGTGCAGTGAAAACAGAGTTGACAAATATGCCAAAAAAGAAAACTCCCCCAGCGACATGAATTACAATTCTGGTGGGTGGCGAGTGGAAAGGATATTCCTCCCATTTTCGGTGGTACTGCGCGTCGTCCCGTAGCTGTGGATACTTTCATTTGTCTGTCCGTCCGTCCGTCTGCCGGAGAGACAGGAAGTTGTGCTAAGCGTCATTTCCGTTGTTTTGAGTGATTGCAATTGAGATACGGTTTTTGTGGTTTCTTTTTTCGGCCACCGCCGGGGATCGAGTTCTCTCTGGTCTGGCCATGGAGGAGTTCGTGTTGACGCTTCCCTTTTCACTTAAGCGGTTTAAATTGTGCAGAAATTTCGGGTGTCTGGTTAATGTTCTGTAAAATGTGACCTAAAAAATCCACACAAAAATATTTGGTTTAAATAAAATGGCTGATATAAGACTCTTCTCGCAGATTTTAAGCTTTTTCCTTTTAAATAAAACTATATATTTTCATAAGTGATTAGCCTAAATCCTGAACGACCTTGAATTGTAAAAATACTGATTCGAGTGTAGGTCACACAAAAAGGATTACATCGAAAATATTTGACTGGGCTGGGCATTCGGCTGGAATGGAATGGAATGTTGCCATTTTGATGTTGACACTCAAATGCCTTTATCTCAGTGGTAATAAATTGAACGGCAAATCCCCCAAATCAATCGCTGACCAATTTATTTTATGCAATCTCTGCATCCGGCACATCCCTGCCTCCCCCAGTGCCCCGATGGCCCAGCCGCATCGAATAGAGACAACAATTTATTGCCCTAACTAACAAAACTGCAGCTGCAATCGCTGCGTTTACAACAGCCCCGGCCTCCCCAGACCAGCGAAACAAAAACAAACCCCTCGTTCGAAATAAAAACTCCAGTTCGACCCGCGCCAACAACAAATGCCCATTAAATCTGCACCAGTTACAAATTTTTGTTGGTTTTTAGTCAATTGGTCAGTCGCAAAACAATTTGGACAGAGAATTTTATTTGCCAGCGGCAGATTTTTCAGCGTTTCCCTTTCTGGCAGGGAGGAGAAGGAGGGGTGGGTTAATTCAATGGCCCCGGCCAATTAAGTTCCAGTCCATAAAATTTGCATCAAAAGGCGACCGTTGACCTTTAGGCGCGTCCATAATTAAGAGGCCCAAAAATAAACCCATGCACCGGGCAGAGGCACAGTGTGCCACAATTAAAGAGTCGGTCTCCATTAAAAGCCGTTTCAACTTCACAGAGCGGGCATAAAGCAGCAGGCTGCAAATGGCCAAAAGAATTCGCAGCCCAACACCAGGGCCCGAAAATGGGGGAACATCCGGGATTAGGGGATCGGAGGATGCCGGGCGTTACGTAATTCGACATAAAAATATCGTAAATCTTAAATTAGAAATTTCGCACATTAAAAACTTGGAAATTGCATTTGGCTTTCTGGCTTCAGCCTGGTCGGCCTGCTTGCTTTCAGAAAAAAGCCCAGAAATTCAACCGAACAAATATTTACATTTAGAGAAATTTATGAATTCCAAGATAAGTTTAATCTTAAGAAAGTCTATATTAAGTAATCAAATTTTATTGAGAATTTGAATTAACAGAAGTAAAAAAAGTAAAAAATATATGCTTCTATCACTGCCACCTAATTAAAGAATTTTATTCAAGTGTATGGGTATGTTTTTGAGCCACAGACTGTGTGGGTATTTGTGAGCTGGAGCAAAAGTCGGCAAGGAATCAAGGGACCTCGGCCTGCATAAAGTCCATTGGCGCAAATTTTTAATGAGTTGGACATAAAAAAGTTTTAGCTTGTGAAAAGCTGCTGCTGAAATGAAGCCAATGAAACCCACACAAACACCCGCCCAGAAAGAGATGCAACCATATTGAGGGATAAAGACAGACAGCCCGACAAAAGCTGGGCCCATGGGCCTTTGTCTCTGTGGGGATTCGAGTGTTGTCCTGCCCGGCGTCTGCTGTTTTATTGCATATTCGTGAGTCAATCAGCGGCCAAAGGGAATCCTTGCCATCTTCTGCAATACCATTTTTCCGGCAGTCAGTCCCCTGCCACCCACTTTGTCAGTGGATCACGCATTCGTTTGTTCGACCTTCATCAATGCACGTCAGCTAATAAATACGTGCTGCATTTTGCCAGGACCTCCCCTGAGAAGGAGGAGCCCACGAGGTGAGGGGGTGGCAAGGAGCGAGAATGGCATCAGAGATGGGTCCCTCACGCAATTAAATTTCACTTCAGCGCTGCCAGTTCGCTTTAATTTGCCGAATTTAATTGAATTGCGAGCACATCAAATTGCGCATACGCCCCGATGTACGAACAGTCACCAGGACGAACCCACCTAGCGCAAAACTTTCTCCTAGCGCCGGCACCACTGAATTGCGATAAAAATGTGCACTAATTTCGTTGAAATTATAGATTTGTATGGTAATGTGTTTCAATTTGCCGGTATTTCTAATGCATTTCCCGTGCTCTCGATTATCGCACAAATGCGAGTTGACATTCAAATTCAAGTGATGAGGTATTATATGAGGAGTGTTCATCCGAACTGTGCAGCCTTCATTAGGGACCCTAATTGGAATGCAAATAATCAATGAATCTACTCAATGCTTTGTGCAGATGGAATATTCACCGATTTTGATTTTACTTTTCGGATCTTCAGACTCCAAAGTCATGGTTTTGTTTCACCAATTTGTTATCTCTCTAGGGCCGGGCTTTTTTTCTGGCGTTTGTCCAAACCAGAGTGACTACAAATGTGGTTGAAATGTGCGCGGAAAGCGACAAACCGCAAAAGTAGCTGAACAAACACAAATGTGCCAGGACGAATCGACAAAATAAAAATGCGAGGGAAAGGGTGCAAAGTGGAGGTAAACACTAATACACGTGAACCAACAAATGTGACGGACATGGACATATGTGTGCCATACCCCCACCCAAAACACCTCTAGCTCCCGCCCACGATCGCTCCGGCAGAAAATGCAAAATGCAAACACAAATATAAACACAGATGCTAACTAACCACATCAACATATCTGCATACGTGTACGGCGCACTCATAGCTGGGACTGCTGGGCAAACATATGAAAATGGAGATTTCCACTATGGTCCATTTTGATGTATTTTGCACCAAAATTATGTTACAACGCCACTCGAATTTGTACTGCCGGGCCCAAAAAGCCAAGCAATTACCAGGCATAAAGGATAACAACCCTAGGATTGCTGTACATTTTTCATGCGAACACTCGAGCGTGGAAATGCATGCCCTCTTGAATTAAATCAACAGAAGCTCAAGCTGAAAATGCCCTCTACAGGCTGAGAGCATATCACGGCAATCGCACGATTTCGAGTACTTCAGCCCACATTATAGCCATGGGCAACGCATCTGCTTGGCCCGAAGAGCCCTTGCCGCCCATTGTTGTCCAAATATAATTCATGGCTCAGCCAGACAGGTCTCGTTGAGCTGAGCTCTCGGATATTACCACAGCTGCAGAGGGCTGAAGCCAAATGAAGCCAAAACCAAATAAAAGTTGATTATCTGTAAATAAATTTCTGGGTTTAATTTTATACATCAAAAGCTCTGAATTTCGAGTCATCTATAGTGACGTTTATTTTGAATATAATTAAACAAAGCCTTGCATATATATTGTTACTTTTTTTGAGAAAATTGGATTCAAAAATCTTGTATATCTGGCTCAATTAAATCAGAAATGCTGGCCGAAATTTTAATTGGTTCGATATTTCATCGGCAAAAATATAAAAGGTGAAAAATAAGAATCTAAAATAATTACATCCTAATGAATATCGTTTTTCATTGAAAGGCTGAATAGTTTATAGTATTAAAAAGTTTTACTAAACTACGATTCCGATAGGGTCGAAAGGAATGGCTTTATGTAATATTTCTAGAGTTTGTACAAGCGAAAGCCAACCTGAAGTGCAATAGTCTTGCGGCGGAACTACTAGCGCTGTTTATCAAAGTAAACTCGGCATTTTCGGTTCATAGTTTCCTTTGTTGTTTACATTGTCAAATGGATTCGGAACCGGCGCTAAAAGCGAAGCGTAAAAGTGCCACAAAGTTAAAAGCGTTGCAGGTGCATG